TTGGAGAAAAACTTGGCGCCCCCCAATCTTTCCAGAAGATCGTCAATGCGAGGGAGAGGGCCGGCGTTCTTGACCGTCTGCGCGTTGAGCTTGCGATAATCGATGCACAACCACAGCTCCTTGTTCTTCTTCCGAACGAAGAGAACAGGAGCACCGTATGGCGATGAGCTAGGCCGAATCCAACCTTTCTCTAGCAGGTCGTCGAGTTGTGCCCGTAGCACACTTAACTCTTCCTCGCTCATTCGGTAGATGCAACCGCACGGAGGTACGGCCCCGTCGTCGAGGATGATCTTGTGGCGGATGGGCCGATCTGGTACTACTCCGTGCGGGCCTTCGAACACGTCGCCGTAGGCGTCGAGAAGCTCGGTGATGCGTGGGTCCGAAGATGAGTCTGTCGATGAAGCGTCATGGGGCGGAAGGGCGTGGAGAAAACACACCCCCATCTCCTCGATGTCGTCTTTGATGATGGAAGCTCGCATGCTTGCGGCGGACACCACGTGGCAGCTGATCGAAGGGTGAGGAGGAGCTACCGTAGATGGGACTAGTACTTCGTTCCGATCACGAATGTGAACGGTGCGGCGGTAGAAGTTCACCGGGTGATCCTCGCTTCGCAGCCATGACATGCCCAAGATCATGTCGAATTTGGTGTCCGAGATATCGAAGGACACCGCCTTGCTTGCGTGCGGGGCAAAGTACACGGGGACGTCATCTATGCACCGGTCTATTGACTTGTGTGTGTGACCGTCTGCCAACGTGACTTGCGTAGGCAGGGACTTCCTCCGGACGCGTGGGCAAAGGCCGGCGCGTACCATAAAGTCCTGGCTCATGTAGTTGCGAGATGCTTCACAATCGATCAAAGCTCTGCAGGTCGCCTCTCCGATCTGAATGCGTACATATAACAATGGTGCGTCGATGTCGTCGTACCGTTGTGTCTTGAACTCGCGGTCGATCTTCGCAATGTAGGCGTGAAGGTCGACAACCTCTACTCCGACGTCCATCAACGGAGTTGGTACTGCAGTGTGCAAGTAATCCCGCAATTGTGCCATGAGCATGTTGCAATGTGGTTTCGGCAATCGACCGGACCGGGGAAGGGGCATCCATTGGAAGTCCGCAAATGTCAACGGGTCGAGCTCTTCAAGTCTTGACCATGACGTTGAATCCCCGGCGGTAGATGGCGGGAAAGCTGCCGAATCGGTTGCCGATGGTGATGAAACCGTGCATGCGGTAGATTGTTGCATGTGGAGCGGTTGGTCCAACGGTGGGACCAAGTGGACAGCATAGTCCTCGTAAGTGTACCGAGGACTTGCGACATTCGCATCCTCCCCAGATGTATAGGAGGCCGCTAGCAAGGTGGCCGAATCTGGCGGAGTGAGAGGTGGAGTCGCCTCACCTCCTGCGCAACTCAGTTTCCCGAGTTTATACGAGGCCGAACATCCTCCTTGCCTTGATCAGGGCATTGGGAGGTCTTGTGCTTGGTGTTGTTGCACCAATAGCAGCAGTCGTAGCGGCCGCGCCACTTGTATTCCGCCTCGATCAAGTGAAACTTGACCCATGGTGTTGGCTGTCCGTTTCCGGCCGGCGATGCGGTTTTCGCCTTCCCATTTCCTTGGGACTTGTTGTTGCTTCGCGGCTGGACAGCAGCCATCTGATCTCCCTCACGCGACGCTTGGGTGGCTGCCGGGTCTTCCACAATGTTGTTCGATTGGACTGCAGCGACATGCTGCGGTCGCGGACCAGTTCTCACCTTCTCCACATAGGTTGGCTGCCATGCTGATTTCTCATGTGCAGCTGCCCTGTTTGTCTTGATGATCTCCCTCGCCTTGTTGATGATTTCGGCGAAGGTGTTGTACTGCTCGCGATCACCAAGTGCGAGGCTCAAAGCGGCGCATGACCGGTTGTAGAACTCCCAGCGCAGATGCGGAAACGGCAAGTCCAGATCGGGCGTCGCCACGATCTTCTGCCAATCCGTGAGCCA